TTTTCCTTAAGCAGAAAATATATTGAGAAACATTAGGTTATTGATCTAAATATTATTTTATGCTATTAGATGGAACATGTATCTGGCCTAACCATGGCTCTATCAAGGTGCAGGTGGATATGATTTCACCTGAAAAAGAGAATAATTAAATTAAGCCACCAAAATACCAAGGTTTCTTTAGCACTGTCATGTGACATTCATGAATGATCATTCAAATTTAGAATATCATTAAAAGAAATGTTTGCACAGACCATTCATTTTAAATTGGTATATACAAGTAAATATCATTATACAAATTCCAAGACAAATATACAGAGCAAGGTTTCATTAGATTCACTATGTTTAAAGTCAACGCATACACAGAAAGATGGCTTGATCTAAGATTTGTTTTGTCTCTATTTCTTGACAGAACATAGAACAGTTATTGGAGTAGAAAATGACTATAGTGTTGTTGAAGGCATTGCAATTGCTGGTTTGGTTGTAGCTGTAGCTGTAGCTGTAGCTGCTGTTCTTGGTATATTTATTATTGGTTATTTCTGTGTGGCAAGGGTTGGAAAGTCTGAACATGGCATCTGTTGCCGACGAGGACGCATACATGTCAGTACACGACAAACTGAAGAAGGTAGGTCATGTTATAATGAAGAGATATAGTATGAGACGTACATCATTGTAATTACTATAGAGAGTAGTATGGGGTAAGAAGCAAAATAAGTACAGAGAAGAGAAAATATTGATCACATTCTGAGATGCATACATACATCTTTGTAATTATTGTAATGAGCAACATAAAAGAATGTAGTATATAGAAAATATAATTTTCATTTGGTTTGTTTCCTTTTTACATTGCCCATAGTCCAGATGCAAAGACTGCATAGGCTGATGTTGACTTATTTTTCTTTGCACTTAAAATAAGTTACATACAGATTTCAAATTCGTGCTACATTATGCGTTAGTGAAATCAAAGTTGCAATATGGTTAAATGCCTATGGGTATTTAACAAGTATCAAAAAGTATAAAATTAAGATCAAAACTCCATCTTTACATGTGTACTTCTGAGAACTTGAAATGTGATAATTGACATATTGGAGAACAATTCTCAAAATTTTTTGTTGACAAGTATTGAATAAACAAATTGAATGCATTTAAAAGTGTACTTTGTTGATGTTGTCAATGACAGTTAGTCGCAGTGATGATCCTGATTAATCATAAGAGCTGAGAGTCCAATATAATATTTTAAATCCTATGAAAACAAATACTATTTTTTTTCCTTGTTAGTGTTTACTCCTATAAAACCATTTATTTTCACTGACATTTAATTTCACTATTTTGATGTTTTGAGCATATTCACTGTGTTTTAATTTCATGAATTTGTCAAGGAAACAATGAGTTTTATTGTCATTCTACATGTTCATGTAGATTTAATTTAGCAGATTTTACTTATCAGTGAATATAGCAAAATTAAAACCAAGTAAAAATCACAATACTTAAAGTTCAACATTGAAAAATTAAAAAAAATTAGGTTTTAAACAAAATAACTCCTATACAGCATCTTTGACTTGAAGTCACGTGGTTTCAATTGTAGTTTAAAGGAACATTGGTCTTGTGCATCTTTTAAGACA